ACGTTGGTTTTCCAAAAGTACATCCCCGACGACTTGAACGACGACGGCCACTTGGAGTACATGTTTTACGGTGTCGGGATCGTCTCGCTCATCAACTTGCTCGCGTTCCTGTACGTGATGAGGGAAATGCAGTTTGGTATGGCTTCGTCCAAGCGCGGCGCCGAAGCTGTCGTTGACGAAGCCGCCCTCGCCAAGCACGAGAGCCATCTCGCTGACGGTGAAAAAGCTCGTTTGAGTTACGCTTGAGACCTTCTAAACGTTTTGTAATGTATATTTCGTCATCCATCGTGTGTCCTCGTCATGAATCAAGCAGATCGCGATAGCAATCCAACTCGCTGCACGTTCATCGCTGTCAATGTGCATCCTTGATGCATCCGCACTGCGACGCGCTCAGTCTCGAGCCGTCTATTTGTTGTCGTGTCGACAACTCGCCTGTTGTAGGTGGGGACGATCGAACGTTGAGCATTCTTCACTAAAGTCACAGCGAGTGGTGGGTTGGTATCTGTGTCGACGTCATCATAGGTGTCGCCGGTGCTTTGAACTGCGTGCCCTATCTGGCGCATGTCTCCTGAAGCGTCTCGTCAAGCATTTGAAGTCGCAGCTCACCATCTCGACAGGGCCATCGCGTGTTCGCGCGGGCGGGCGATCCACATTGGAAAATTTACTATTAGGATTACTAAGTCGAGTTGACTTCACCAAGAGAGCACATACTACGTAGCACTGTACATGCTGCTAGTAATAGTAGTGATGTACTACTAATACAATGTTTGCATCGATTGACTGTCTCTGGGCCCCACTTTCTTTTGAAAAGCATGGCAGCAAGCAGTCTCCGCAGCAAAGTACTCTTCGTCCTTGGTGGCCCTGGGTCTGGAAAGGGCACGCAATGCTCGAAGATCGTGGCCAAGTTTGGCTTTGTTCACCTCTCGGTAAGCGTGCAGGCCTCATGTGGGTCGATCTCTCAAGCGCTCTTTGTGCAGGCGGGTGATCTGTTGCGCGAGGAACGTGCTTCTGGCAGCCCCAATGGCGAAATGATCGACCGTATGATTCGTGACGGTGCCATCGTGCCCGTCAAGGTCACGTTGGATTTGATCCGCAAAGCCATGGTTGAAAGTGGCCGTGACCTCTTCCTCATCGACGGGTTTCCGCGCAACTTTGACAACCTCGAAGGATGGGAAGCCGAGATGACGGACGTCGATGTGGCCGGTGTTCTTTTCTACGATTGCCCCGAAGAAGAAATGGAGAAACGTTTGCTCGAGCGCGGCAAGACAAGTGGCCGCACGGACGACAACATTGACGCCATCCGCAAGCGCTTCACGACGTACCTCGAGTCGACGATGCCCATCATTGAGCATTTCGCGTTGAAGAATCAAGTGTTCCGCATTTCGTCGATCCCGTCCCCCGATGAAGTGTTTGCCGAGACGTCCAAAGTGATCGAACCGATCGTAAAGCAGCACCTCGTAGACATTACAAAGGTATAGCATGTAATACAGACAACCGATTCCAGTTCATGCACGCCCGCCAATCTCGCCGTAGTGCTTGCTGGACGCGGTCTTTGAGGGTAACTTGGCTACGTACCAGGTACCCTCGTCTCCACTCTACCGGACGATAGATTCACAGGCGATGGTCAGGCTCTGTGCGACGAGTCGCTGTCAGCAATCGAGCCCCAGTCGATGGGTCACGTCATCGAAGTGCGGTCGCTCCATCACGTCTCGACTTGTCGCACTCAATCTCTTGTAGGGCTTGAAATTCCACGAGTTTTACTTCAAGAACCAAGGCATGATGGGCGGCTTGGGAGTGACGAAGATTTGCAAAGTACCACCGCGCCATGCATGCGTCACCATGGGCTGACCTGTTTCTCTAGTCGAATGTCGTGGACCCGCACGTCAAGCTGCTGGGCGACACCGCGATCGTTTCGTTCGCAAATGTGATCCAGGTTGGACGTCGTAAGAGGACGTATCATGCTTCTGTGCTGCGTAGTCACCGACGCAAGACTCGATGCTGTACATGGAGACGCGGGTGTGGCACCGCCAGGAGGGCAAGTGGAAGAACGTTCACTTTCATCGGTCGACCAAGTGATCCGTGCGGACCATCGTGGAATTCAAAACGGATACGTCATGTAAGGGTGATTCAGTTGTTTTAACGAAAACTCATCGAGGTATCAAGTGCGTCGCATCGCGTTCGTTTTCACTCAACACGGGCGCGCTCGTGTGCCGCAAGATGTCGTCGGCATACCCCAGCACGCTTCCGTTTTCTCTACGCAGCACACAATGAATCCACCGAGCAACGCACGGCGGCGTGCACACACGTACGGGATGAGGTTATGGTTGTTTCGAGTCGACGACAGGCCCTGGTCAAACACGTCGAGGAGAATGGGCGGCTGTCCGATGAACGGGTTGTTTGCCATTGCTTTGGAGATGGCAAACACTTGCGACATCTTTTGCTGGAAGCGCAACTTGTACTGTTTCGGTGGGATCGCCGAGATGCCGTCGGGGTCCTTGCGCTTGATATGTTGCTTCCAGAATCGCTCGAGCTTCTTCTCGAGCGTCCACTGCTGAAGAAAATCGATGATCCCAAACTGGTACAGCGCTGGCCCGTTGACACTGATCGCAGTCTGCGTCGCAAAGGACGACCCAGGGTGCATATTCGGGTTGAAGCCGACGATGCCGGGCTCGACATAGTACTCGCAGCTCTGGACGCCCATGAGCAGGCTATAGTCCATAATGCCTTGCTCGTACAAAAAGTCGCTGTCAAAGCAAAGCTGGTCGTAGAGCTGGTTGGACGCCTGCGGGTCGATGCGGACCTTGGTGAGCAGATCATTGTCTTTGAGCACAATATTGGGCTCGTGGAAGTTGAGACCGTCGCCGCACTCTTGCGATTTGGTGCTGCCAAACGTGTACCGAGCGTTGCAGTACCGACACGTGACCTTGTTCCCGACCTTGGGGAGCCGCGCATTCCGGTCTTCCCAGCTCCCCTTGATATCGTACCGGTGATGGATCACTTGTGTGTTGGCAAAGATATTGCCCATCACGACAAAGTAATACATCTTGCCGTACAGCAGGACGGCGTGGCACCCGTAAAACTTCGTCATGAGCGACTGAGGGTGCGACACCAAGTACGACGCGTATTTGGGCGCCATCCGCCGCAGCAGCTCGCACTCTTCCTTGGACATGGTCTTGACAATGATGCTTTCGTCGGCGCTGTAAAACATAAACGCCCCACTCCGTCCTTCGCTGAATCGTTCCTGCACACTCGTCCGTCATCGATCAGCTGTATTCCAGCAAGAAATCGGCGCACCTTGGTCGTGGCCGAAAACAATCGAATGTACGCATCGTCGGAAATGCCATAGTTTTCCCGGATCGTGCGAAACACCGTCGGCGCGTACGACCAAAACTTGATGGTTTTGCCCTAGACAACAAGTCAGGGCGAGAGCCAGGCAGACGACGTTTGTCGCACACACCGAGTCGTCGTGGCCATCCGTCAACAAAAACATCTCGGACGACGAGTGGCCGGTCGCCGCTTCTTGGACAGACTGCTTGATACCGGACGTCGTGTAGAATAAAATCTCGGACCGCAGCGCAAGGTTTACTTGGGGACTCAAGTCCACATCGACGTCGGTCGACTTGCTCCCGCTCTTCTTCTTGGTGTTGTTCACAGCAAACCAAATGATGTACTCCAAGTACCCCTTGGACGCGACAAGAAACATAAAGAACTGCCGCATGATCATCGGCACCAGATCCAGCGGCTGGCCGCTGTAGTTTTCCGCGACAAAGTACGTCGACATGTACATGAAGAGCAAGAAGAGCCAGTAAAACACCATCGCGCCCGTGAACCTATCCGTCCGTGGGCCATGCATGCATGGAAACGCAACATCGCACGTACAACGAAATGTAGTTGAGCACGCCTAGCCGAATGTTGTACGTCTTGGGAACGCCGCCAGCGTATAGCCGTCGCCACGCAATGATGAGGACGCTGGTCGCCGTCGTCAGGGACGAAGAAGAGCGCAATTTACGTACATGACGGAAATGACCAGCACAAACACAACAATGCCGTACAAGAGCATCCATGGCCTACACACGCCCCACATTATCTCCGTGTGCCATGCCGACGTAACGCGTACCATTTCTGAATGCTGGCAAACGTCCGCGACGGACCGTTGGCCACGGACTTTCCAGACGATGCCAAGCAAAACCCAATCACGTTGTACTTGCTGTCGTTGTCGTTGATCGGGTGTGCGTCGACCTGGAAAAACCCGCCAGCATTGCCGTCCGAGTCGCTCACGGTGAACGCGATGACGGCCATCAAGAGACCTAGACCGTCTCTTAGCCATCCATCAAAAATACAGATTCCACGCACTGGTGGACCAGACGAAGCCGTGGTAAAACTTCATCGACCGCTTGTAGCTCTTGAACGGATCGTTGAGCTAGACAGAGTTCAATGGCCGCCCCCGTGTCCAGGTCGACCGACGTACCGAGGAATACAAGTCGATGGCCATCATGAGCCCCCATGCCTCGGAAGAGAAGAAGAAGAATTCGGTCAGACCAGCCAATTTCCGGCATGACTTTGCCGACTCTTGGTCCACCGGGTCGTAGTCGACCAAAATATTGAGCAGCAAGCAAATGGCGAGGAAAATGCTGAGGCAACTGCGCATGTGCACGATCGGGTTCGGGTGTTGGTGCCACTCGCGCTTCAGGTTATAGGTAACGACGACAGCCATGCCGCAAACGATCGTGTTGATCGAACCTGCAATCAACCCTGCCCACCGGTAGTTGTAGAACGCAAGCGTCATGCCGAGGCAACCCAGAGTCCAGCACATGCCCATGATCTGGCTTTTCTTGTTCTCCATCCAGTGGATCTTTGCGTTCGCAGAGCGCTTCGTTCGCCCACGGAATTGCTTCTGCAGCTCCTTGTCTATCACGTGAATGTTGGCACTGTTCGCGGCACTCGAGAACTGTTGGCCAAAGTCGTCCCCACCACGTCCTTGACGCTGCGAACCCTGCCCGCTGCTCAAAGGTGGATTGCTTGCAGGGCCGTAGTACGGATTGCTCGGGGTCGTCGCTTGTCCCTGGGCGTAATATGACTCAATTTCCTGGAGGTTTTGGCTCGGAACTTGCGACGGCAAGTACGAGCTCGGGATGTCGCTCCAATGATCTTCCATCACTGGCATCGAACTCTCTGAAGACCTGACGTTAGCGTCACGGTTGTTTGTTTTGGGAGCTCGTCGAGTCGCCATGTCCGTGGTCGTTGTTCCGTGCAGCCCACGGCGTGCCGTCGTCGATCAAGCGATGGGAAGGCGGCCGAAAGAGCGAGTTTCAGAACAGATTCAGATGCCCGAACTGCAACAAGAAAAAAATTCGTCGCTTCTTTTTATTTTGATACCGTCTTCTAAATAATAGAATCATTCGAAACTTGATTTTTTTTCACGATTGTGCTCCAAATCGGGACGCGAGCGAAACATCACTATGTGAGTAATCTTCCCGCATAGGCGGGCGGCGCGAGGGTCCCGCGGAGCATGCACACGGACTATCGGACACCGCGCGAAGGGCCAGGGACGCAATGCGTCTCGCTGTGGGATAAACGCCGTGAGGGTGTCCCGGTCGGACGCAATCCAACACAGCGACAATGTCAACGAGCACGCCGCAGGATTTTCCCATTGGACATGGACATCCTACCTACAGCACGAGCCCTCCATCGACCCGAAACACTTGACCAGTGACGTACGATGCCTTGTCGCTCAAGAGGTAAGACACCATGTGTGCGACGTCGTCTGGTTGGCCCAATCGGCGCATCACGATTTGGTTTACAGTCTTTTGGCGAGCGTCGTCGCTCATGCTTGAAGCTGTCATGTCAGTGGCGATGAAACCAGGTTCGACAAGGTTCACACGGATATTCTTCGGCCCGAGTTCCTTTGCGAGAGATGTAGTGAGGCCAACGAGGCCCGCCTTCGCGGCGCTGTACGCAGCTTGCCCGACGTTCCCCTTACTCCCGACCACACTCCCAAGGGTGACGATGCTACCTGTTCCAGATGAGAATGAACTAAGAGCAGAGTTGATGATGAGTGTACCTTGCTTTTGTTGGAGCATGCCTCGTGCCACGGCCTTGCTCATGAACAGAGGACCCAACAAATTCGTTTGCATCATGTTCTGAGCATCCCCTTCCTGGAGTCGCACGAGCAACGAGTTGTGAGTTTCGCCTGCAGCATTCACGAGTCCTGTGATCGGATGGCCAGCCAGCGCTGTGATTTCTTTCACCGCGCGGTCCGCACTACCAGGTTCACATGCATCGTATGCGACGCCCAACACTTCCGGTGAAATAGTCGCCGCCGCCTCCATTGCTCGTTCAGCGCTTCGTGAAGTTAGCGCAACCATCCATCCGTCCCCGTGGAGCTGGCGTGCGACTGCAAGGCCAATGCCGCGGCTTCCGCCAGTCACCAGGGCAAGGCGTCTCATTGTTCGAGTATCCGGATAACATGGCGTTGGAGAAAGCAATATTTCTGACGGCATTTTTAGTTAAATCCGAAAAATCATTTCCACGTAAAACGACCTGCCAGCAGCCAAATTACGCTGGAATTAACAGAGAGAGCGACAACTTCTCGCCGCGAGAAAGCGCTCTCTATTCCTTGGGATAGGCCCAGGACTCGTCATATATGGCCTCGAGCCTCGCCATGATACGCGCCTTGGTTCTAGACAAAGCGGCCTATCAGGAACAATTCAATGTTCGCAGCCATACTCTGGAGTAAGGCGGGCTATAATTGCAGGCAAGGAGGTCGGAGCGCGGTGGGGTGGCCCAGGTGGATTGTCGAGTGACTCTGCGACGAACTTCCAATTCGCGCACGGCACTCCTTGGATCGACGACCTGTCGCACCCACACCTTAGAGCGCGCTCTTCGCCGTAGCACAGAAGCGTACCATGCTGAGTTCGAGTAGTGCTGTTCGTTGCCCTGGAGAGCCGCTGCGTTGCGAACGAGAAGCAATTCCATGAACGAATCCACAAATACTGCTGAGCCTCGCACGAGGTGTGCCAACTTGGATTGCAGCTCACTCGGGTCATCGATTTGCTGAGTTTCTGGATTGCGATGGCGACGGTATTCTTTGGCCACAGCGGCGCAAATTGGCTCTGGAAGCGCGGGCAAACCCGAGTCCTCAACGTCAACCGCTGTATCGGCGTCGTCGGCGTTGTCAACTTCGTCCAAGTCCAGGTCAATGCGGCTCGGTTCCATCTCGAATCTACTTGAGCCATGTTGAATCATTTGAATTGTTGCAGAAGTCCCATTACGAAGTGCGAAGGAGGTTTCGCGCGCGGACTGGCCAGCGAAAAATCCTACAGAGTTGAGTGAATGCCGAGATGGACTGAAAAAACGAACGGCCCTACGTCTTCAGCGCGTTCGCTTGAGTGACAGGATTTGCGCCAGGGGGGCCGTGGAGCACTTGACCGCGGTTGATTGCAGCCACTTCACCATGGGACAAGTGAGTGCATAGGCCGCGCATGACTGACCATGCCGCATTAATCCCGCCCAATGGGTTTTCCTCGTCCTCGGTATCGTTGTCATCTTCGTCTTCTGGAGGGTCGGCCTACGTGCTGGTCGATGAGACACCGAAGGCTCGACGGGCAGCCAACGTCGTGGACATCCGACTTGGCTTCGTCGTCGTCTGGCGTTGAGGGAGCAACATCAGCGTCTTGTCCGTCGGAATCTTCAGCATTCTCTTTCTTTCCGTAAACAGGAGACGTGGGCTCGCTCCCACGCTGGATCCGAGCAAAGGGAGAACTTGATGGCATGTCGTTCGTGTCGTCGACCTTGACGATCGTGTCCGAGACATCGTCCGGTAGAACTGCTTGATCAACGTCGCTAGAAGAGTCATCACTGTTGCTTGCATGATGTCTTTTCATTGGTATCGCATTGGACAGCGATGCCCTCTGGGTGTTGTGAGGGATCCGTCGTCATGTTGAGTTGTGACATCTACCTTTGCGACGGCAACTTTCTTTGCCGGTGCATCCTTCGCCTTCGATATCTGCGACTGCGCGCGAATAGATCATCAACACATATGCATCACGACCAGGTCGTACGCAGACGCACCAGACTGCGCTTGCTTGTCTTCTTCGGTACGCCGAATCCGCTCATGGTGCAGCGCAGTGCCGACACCACCAACACCAAGATTACTCGGTGAAGTACGAAATTCAGCCAATCAAACATCTGAATCAACGACATTTGAAGAATGTGAGTTTCTGTCGGCCAGATTGGTTGCACAGGGGACGTGTCAGCCCGATCGCACCGCCGACGTCTTCCACATGAATTTGACATACTTGTGCGCAGCATCACCTCCGTCCAAGCACACGATGTACACACTTGAATGAAGAGTAACTGAAGAGAAGGGGCCGACGACGACGAGCCTCAGCTCGTGCCTACACTCCCATTGCACGTTCCATGCAGAGCAGGGCTGTATCTCGCTCATTGTCTTACCACAACAGCCACAAGCGAGCGTAGCTTTACGTCGTGTGCATGATGAATTCATCACAAATGAAAGGAACTAGGAAGTATGGCAAGGGATTTGACAGCCCAGTTGAAGCAGCCCGTTGGACCAAAGCTTGCACGCATGCAATTTCGATCTCTCACTGTCGGGTCTTCTTTTCATAACTTGCATAACGTCGTTAAGCCATCGATCAAGGGTGCAGCATGCGGCGACGTTGAACGGCTCATGGTTGGTGGCGTCGGCGCTCCACTCGAGCCAACTTCCCAGTCGACACTTCTTATCCGGATGGTGACAATCTTGAAGAGGCGCGACCACAATCATGGTGGTGTCCGACGCCGACCACCATGAAAAGGTGCATGCGTACGACGTGCGTGATGGAAGGCTGCATGTCAAGAATATCACAGTCGCATCACTCATAGAGATTCACGTGGTACATGTTGTTGATATTTGCCATCCCAGTCTCATCGGTCGGCCAGGCAAACCCATGCCAGTTGAAGTGCCTGAATGTATCGGACAACGTTGTGCGCAGCTTGCAAGCGGTCCAGGGATATCCTTTCCTTCAGGTGCAGGATTCCCACCGTTGTCGCGGCCTTTTCTCACGTGAAACAACCAGCACTTGATGTTGGGTCGGAATTGGATTGTCGACATGGGTCCAGTTCGCCAGTTCGTGCATCTCGTCCAGCTCGATCTGTCAAACAACAATATTCGTCGTGTTGATGGCATCGAAACCTTGTCTCGCTTGCAGGTGTTGACAACCTGCGATGCCTTGAGTCTCATTGCGTTTTAGGTGTTGAATCTTAGCCACAACGACTTGCGCAACTTTTTATCCATCCGTGCCTTGTCCGTCAACCAGGTTTGCCTCAACTGCTGTAGCTAGTTTGCCGCAACTGAGCCTCTGAACCAGTCGATCCGTATTCTCCAACTGCACAACAACGTCGTGGCGACTCTCACCGGCTACCGTGCTCGTGTGTCGTCGTTGCTGCCCCAAGCGATCATGCTTGACGACATTCGGCTTCCCCGCTCGGCCATGCTGAAACAAATGCCAAGTCATGCGTGCCAGATGTGCGGTCAAAGTGGCCTGCCGCCTTACGTGGCACCGATCCATCGGGTGTGTGAACTTCCGACGGACTTTGCCTCATGGACACGTAGCGACCACTGTCCAAGAACGAACAGCAGCTGTGTGATTCACTAAGGAGCAAGCCCCGCACCACCACGAAAGGTGGCGCGAATCCAGATCACAAAGGCGCACGGGCGTCCGAGATTCCTGGCAAAGACAGTGCGGACAACGGAATTCGACAAGTCAATCAACAGCGTGGCGAACGTCAGAGGCACGGCAAAGCGATCGCGCGATCTCGACACATGAGTTTGATTGAGCGAAAGCTCATGCAGTTAATCACGACGAAAGATGACAGGAAGCACGCAGTAAGGAAGCAAGAACCCCGTTGTGGATGGCATGTTATGTGGTTTGCATAGGTCCCTCTGTCCGTGGCGGCTGACGCGACCAAAGTCCAGCTCGATCGGAAACGAAGCAACCGGTTCGACGTGGACGCGCTCACGTCCATCGAAGATGCCAACGACAGCAAGGAACCGACTCCAACAGCGCGGGTCGGCTATATGCACTCGCTCGACGACTTGTTCACCAACGACATGGCGTACCACGAAGAAAAGATCCGTCTAGCTCAAAGCAATCTACACGATGCAAGCGCGACAGACCGCGTTCAGCCTTCGTACGCTTTCGACGAAGCATGGACCAGCTGTGCAGCGCTCAAGAAGCTCTTTGACACGACGCTGCCGATGTATGACGACCAAGTTATCGCGTTGGCGCAAGCAGCAGCAGAAAACCTGCCTTTTCAAAATGTGCACCTCGGAACTGTGCTGCGGGAGATTGCCGACGTACTGAGCACACACCAGCCAAGGCGATCCCAAGGGCGGCATCTAGACGATGAGAGTGCCGACATGAAGCATATTCGCCACTTCCTCAGTCACAACAAATGAATGGCTTCATCAATCGGGGTCCCTCTCCGTTGAACACCTTCGATAGCATTGCGCAACATACTCTCAAGCTGCAATTGTTCCCACAACTGGATGACCTGCTTGCATGAACCACCCCTCTGTCACGAGAAACGCGAGTTCCTCGAGAATTGTTGCTTCTCCATATTTCCAATATTTTCACATTTTTTCATATAATTTTGACAATATTCAATGGTGGCTGGTGGCAATAGTTCCTTGCAGCGCGGAATGGCTTGAATTCCAAGCGACAAATCCCTGCCCTCAAGACGTCGAGCAATTGTGCTTGATCGCACGCAATGCTGCGAAAACCAGGAATTAGGCACCCGCAACGGAGACACTTTCATGTCATTTTGAAAATGTTGAGTGGCGAAAATCAACGGTCTTGGCGTTGATTGGCTACAAAATGTTTGTAAACGTTTTCCATTGGTCATCATAATTCCCCTCAGCTCGATAAACAAGGACGCCACGTCGTCAACACTGCAGCACATCTGCAAAGCAGAATGTCTCCATTTCCACTAACAATGCAGACCTTGGCTGCTGTGTGCGATTCATTTTTTTAAAGCACCAATGAAAGGATAACTTCGTTTTCGGCGAGAGATTGATCACACGCAACAGTGAATTTGTCTAATGGATATTCTTTCTACATGTGGTATATTGACCAATCAAGTTTAAATCCGATTTTTCTGGTTTGGCTGTAGATCGCCATTTCCACTTCGAGAAGTTTCGAAGGCCGCCAGATGAGTGCCGCCGATGTCGACATGGAGACCTCGTCCAGTGGTGGCATTGATGAGAGCTTGTACAGCCGTCAACTCTACGTCATGGGGCACGAAGCACAACGCCGCATGGGTGAGTCGAACGTCCTCATCGTCAACGTGGACGGTCTCGGCGTTGAAATCGCAAAAAACATCGTCCTTGCTGGTGTGCGCAGTGTCACGTTGTTCGACGACGCCCCTGCAACATTCATGGACCTGTCGTCCCAATTTTACCTCACAGAGCAAGATGTTGTGACTCATTCGGGGCGTGCCGAAGCGAGTTGTCAAAAACTCGCTGACTTGAATCCATACGTCCAAGTGAAGAAACACACGGGAAAGCTCACCCCCGAATTCCTTGCTGGTTTCCGAGTGCGAAATTGGACTGGATACCTTCATGACTAATGCAATTGCGCGTCTAGGTGGTCGTTGTCTGCAACTCTACGCGTGCATATGCCCTTGAGCTCAGCGACGTCTGCCATTCCGAGGGTGTCGCGTTCGTCTACACGGAAGCTCGTGGTGTATTTGGCTCTGTATTTTGCGACTTCGGCGACGCCTTCGTAGTGTCCGACAAAGATGGGGAGCAACCGATCACTTGCATGGTGGCGTCAATCACGAGCGATGTAGCAGGTAAATTGCTAGTCACCGTCACGGACGACGCGCGCCATCAACTCGAAACGGGGGACTTCGTGACTTTCCGCGAGCTCGAGGGTGCGGACTGTTTAAACGGCATCACACCTCTCCCCATCACCGTCACTGGTCCTTTTACGTTCACTATCGATTTCCCAAGCCCTGTGACCTCCATGGGCGGCTACGTTACGCAAGTGAAGCAACCGCTGACTTTACGCTTCAAGCGTCTGAGGGAGTCTTTGGCCTCCCCTGGTGAATTCCTCACGAGTGACTTTGCTAAGTTCGGACGGTCCGAGCTGCTTCATGCTGCTTTCCAAGGGTTGGAGGCATTTCGAGGCCAACATGGCGGACAATTGCCCACCTCCGGCAACACCAAACATGCCGATGAAGTCCTCCGCTTAACCAAGCCATTTGCTGACGCTATCAAGACTGAAGTGGACGCCAAAGTGGTGGCGGCGCTGTCGACGGGGGCTCGCGGGGTCGTTGCCCCTATCACGTCTTTCTTGGGTGGCATCGTTGGCCAAGAGGCGTTGAAAGCCTGCAGCGGCAAGTTTACACCGATCCACCAGTGGTTCTACTTTGACGCGATCGAGTGTTTGCCCGTCGAACAGTTGCCAGAAAGCGAGTTTCAACCGGTGAATTCGCGCGACGACGGGCAAATTGCAGTGTGGGGCCGTTCTTTCCAGGAGAAGCTCCATCAACTTCGACTGTTTTTGGTCGGGGCCGGCGCAATCGGGTGCGAAATGCTCAAGAACTGGGCGCTGATGGGCCTTGCAACCCACGAAAGTGGTCGCATCCACCTCACCGACATGGACCTGATTGAAAAATCGAATCTGAACCGCCAGTTCCTCTTCCGGTCGACCGACGTCGGGCAACCCAAGTCGTCGACGGCAGCGACGGCGATCCGTTTCATCAACCCAAACGTCCACATTCAAGCTTACGTGACTCGCGTGGGAGCGGAGAGCGAAACCATCTTTGACGATGCGTTCTACGACTCGCTCACGGGCGTGTGCACTGCATTGGACAACGTTGATGCTCGGCTGTACATGGACCAGCGCTGTCTCTTTTATGGCCTCCCGATGCTCGAGTCGGGCACCCTCGGCACCAAGGGCAATACGCAAGTGGTCGTTCCAAGCCTTACTGAGAACTATGGCGCATCCCGAGATCCCCCCGAGAAGAGCATTCCTATTTGCACACTCAAGAACTTCCCAAACGCCATCGAACACACTCTCCAGTGGGCGCGCGACTGGTTTGAAGGCGTCTTCTTCCAAACACCCAACGACGTGAACGCTTACATTACGACGCCGGACTTTGTGGCGAAGAATGTCCATACGGACGCGTTGGAGCGCGTGTACCAGTCCCTCGTCGCTGACAAACCCAAGACCTTCCATGACTGCATTGCGTGGGCGCGCCTTCAGTTCGAAGCCATGTTTTCCAATTCGCTCAAGCAATTGCTGCACAACTTCCCGTTGGACCAAGTGACGACGTCCGGCGCGCCGTTTTGGTCTGGCCCGAAGCGCCCGCCTACCCCGCTGACGTTTTCGACAGACGATCCCGTCCACATGGACTTTATTGTGTCGGTTGCCAACAGCCGCGCGATCACATATGGGCTCGCTGGCCACCGCAATCGAGCGGACATTGTGAAGGCCCTCCGTGGTATTGAAGTGCCTCACTTTATCCCTCGAGACGGCGTGAAAATCGCAGCCAACGACGAAGAAATGAAGCAAGGGGAGCAGCAGACTAACACAGTCACGTCCGCCCCACCACCGCTTCCGTCGCCGGCAGAACTCGGCGCGTACCGCATGACGCCGATCGAGTTTGACAAAGATGACGACAGTCACATGGAAGTGATCGTAGCCACGTCCAACTTGCGTGCGCGGTCGTACAAGATCAAAGAAGCAGACTTGCACTCGTCTCGCTTCATCGCGGGCAAGATCATTCCAGCCATTGCCACCACCACTGCTCTGGTCACGGGGTGCGTGAAGTCTCTCCTCCATTCACGACTCACCTTGCCATAGGTTGGTGTGCCTCGAATTGATCAAGTTCGTCCAAAAGAAGCCCCTGGAAGCATTCAAGAACGGATTTGTCAACTTGGCCCTCCCGCTCTTTGCGTTCTCCGAGCCGATCGCGCCAAAAGTGACCACGTCGATGCTCCACAACGAGCCGTACAAGTGGACCGCGTGGGACCGCTTGGAAATGAACGTTGGCGACGTCACGCTGCACGAGTTCCTCAAACACTTTGAGAAACAGTACGGCGCTGAAGTGTCGATGCTGTCGTACGGCGTGACGATTCTGTACGCCATGTACTCGGCCAAGTCGCGGTCCAAGGAGCGCATGAACATGAAGCTGTCGGAACTCGTGGCCACCATCACCAAGACCCAACTCCCGCCCAAGCAGAAGTACCTCATCTTGGAAGTGTGCGCGACCGACGCGGACGGAGAAGACTTGGAATTGCCGTACATTCGATACCAGTACCGCGCGTAGTAGCAGCAACGCCGTTGCAACGAATGCCAACACCTTTTATAAAATCCGTGTGAAATTGCTTGAGCAATTTTCCAGTGCATAAAGGACGTTGCTTTGAAAACCACGGAGCGGCCAAGATTGAAATTGGCCAATAGGAGAACGGCATGGCCAGGACCAATCAAGTGCCAGGATCCGATGCATTTGGGCAGAATCCATTCGTTGTGGCGCCGCCAGGTTGACCATGGCAACCAAGCAAGCAGACAAGTTTCTCACATTGCTCAGCGAAAAGCTGAAGCAACTCACAGACATTGCGCTTACCCAGGACGAACTCAATGACAAGCTCGGGACGGCCATTGCGACGCTGCCGAGCGGAGCGTTGAAGGCGACCCTGCAGCGTAACCTTGATGTGTACAGCAAACGCCTAGGTCGACTCTTGGAAGCATCGCTCCAGCACCGAACGAAGGCCACGAGCGAAAAGTTACTCTGCGAAGCCGACTACGACATACTCTTGAGCCAGAACAACACGACAAAGCTCGTCGAACAGTTGAGTGTACCGCCGTCCGTGTTTGCCAACTTCGTTGCCGAAGGTCCTGCGTCCAGTGACGATCCCATCAAAATTGTCGATGCTGTCGTCCAGCTTGCAAACACAGCTACCCAGGAGCTTGCTACGAACGGATTCACCTCCGTGTACCCCGCCAAACAAGACCCGCATGCCGCGATTGCATTCTATGCCTCGAATATCTCCACCCTCGTGCGATCTTGGATGGGCGCGGTGCGCACGAACGAGTCGTTCGACGTGTTCAAGAGCCGCCAACTGCAGCTCGCGTTATCTGAACTGCTCAAAGTGATTGAATTCTGTCAGCTCCAAGACGTCTATGGCGATTTTGGCGCTTCCGCCAGCGACACATCCTTCTCCTTTTACCTTCCCAACGACGCCACATCCTCAACGAGCCCCCACGTTACGTCTGCCCTCGCACACCTCTACGCGTCGTACGTCGTGCTCACGGTGTTCTATCCCAGCAGAACGCCCCTGCCAGCCGCCGACCATTCGGACGACGACGACCTGTTCGAAGACATTCCGCCCGTCAAGTCGGACCCGGTCAGCGTTGCTTCCCAATGCGTGGTCGAATTGCTCGTGACAAGCGATCGCTTCGACTCGTCCTGGCTCGTCGACGTCCTCCTGGCAGCGAACCAACTGCCTCGGCCTACAATAGCCGCCGGCGACTCGAACACGCTTTTGATGCAGTTCAACCGCGTGGTATTGAAGGCCCTGCGTCGACTCACGTTCCAGCCCAACATGTCGCCCGTCGAATTCGTTCGCGGAGTTTTGTTCGTTCGACAAGCGAAGGCACTCCTGCGACGCACTCGCCAGGCGAACGCACCACAGCTCACGTCCATCATCACTCGCTTGACGTCACTCGCAATTCCATTCAAGCTGATCGACTGGATGACGCTCGTTGCTCGCGGTACGCCCATGATGTCCATCCGAGTTCAACATGCGTACTACGATGGATCGTAGGAGACAAATCGCGCCTTTCGGGCCTGATTGGAACAGTCGCGTCTGCCGCCCCAACGTCCAGCGCATTGCTGTCGTCGACTTGGGAAGATTCAGACTTGATCGATCTCGCTGCGGTACGCTTTCGCTAGTTTGATGACGCTCTTTTAACTCGAAGGAATTGTCGTGGCATAGAAACTCGAGGTCGAGTTTGTGACCAAGTCCCACCAACGCGGAGGTGACGTCAACGAAGCCGACACAGGAATCATCGCGGACGAACCGCAGGATGCCGGCGACGAAGACGGCGGCGACCAGCCGCTCTTTTTCGTGGACAACCTTGGCGACCAATAATAAATACTCGTTCGCAATGGCTCTTTGTCGGAAGCTACGCTCGGCCTAGCGTGCTGCGTCGTGCTGAGCGGTCCCCCCGTTCGACACAACCATGTTCACCTATAGCACTCATAAGTGAAGTTAGGCATAGCGCAACCGGTGGCATCCCGCACAGCGGAAACATCGTGTGGTGGCCGGCCAGGTTGTTTTCATCATGGCAGGCATACCAGCACCAGATGGTGTTCCGATTCGGGCTCCGTGACGTCGGTTGGAGGTGACATAGCATGTTGCGGGAGGAGGCTTGTAATGCCTACCGACGGTCACAGGAAGCGTGGTGTTCGCGCATCGCGGCATTGCCGTGCTCTGCGCACATTGCGACCCCCATAAAGCTGGCTTGCCACAGCCCACGCACGCGCACCACACTGAAGCGATATGACCCATCCGGATAAACGGAAATGGGCAGTTTTGATTGGTTGTGGATCATTGCCCGCTTCGAAATTGGGTGAAGTGTGGGTTTGTGGAATGTGACTGGGGTTTTGTATGGGAGGTACCTCTTCAACATTGCGTTAGTTTGCGTTTGGGTTTGGACGGCGCAGACGGCACGAGCGCAGGACGACGATGAAGATCATCGACAAGATCAACGACAAGATCGAGAAGAAGGAGGCGTTCTACTCGTTCGAGTTCTTCCCACCTAAAACCCCCGCTGGTGTCACCAACCTGTACTCGCGCATGGACCGCATGGCGTTGTTGGAACCGCTCTACTGTGATATGACGTGGGGCGCGGGCGGCAGCACGGCCAACAAGACCATCGAGCTCAGCGCCAACGCACAAAAGTTGAGCGGTCTCGAGATGCTCATGCACTTGACCTGCACAAACATGCCCAAAGGTAGCATCAAGAACGCGCTCGACTCGGCCAAGGACGCAGGGATCCAGAATATTCTCGCGTTGCGTGGGGATCCGCCGCGCGGCCAGACCGAGTTCAAGGAATGCGAAGGCGGGTTCTCATACGCGATCGATCTCGTCAAGTACATTCGAGAGGAGTACGGGGACTATTTCTGCATTGCCGTTGCCGGGTACCCTGAAGGGCACTCGGACGCCGACGACCTGGACACGGACATTTTGCATCTCAAGGAGAAGGTTGACGCCGGCGCAGACTTCGTCGTGACGCAGTTGTTTTACGACGTGAAGAATTACCTCAAATTTGTCGACAAGTGCCGCGCCGTTGGTGTGACTGTCCCGATCGTGCCAGGGATCATGCCCATTCAAAACTGCAATGGCTTTGTGCGCATGAGCACCATGTGCAGCCACGTCCCTGAGGAGGTACTTTTCGTCGATTCGCCGTCGTCGGCGGCTCATCTCGTTCGTCGTAGATTCTCCAAGCTTTGGAACCGATCAAGGACAACGACGAAGCCGTCAAAGAATACGGCGTCCAACTCGGCATTCACATGTGCAAAGAGCTTCTCGCGCAGGGCGTGCCGGGGCTCCACATGTACACGCTCAACTTGGAGCGGTCCACGCGACTGATTCTAGAAGGCCTTGGCTTGACCGCCACCGCCCGCCGCGAACTCCCTTGGCGACCGGTGCGTCTTTCCAACTTGACTGTCCGACTCATCTGGTTGAGTGTAGTCGACGCTCGCCAAGCGCGCCGGTGAATCGGTTCGTCCCATCTTCTGGGCCAACCGCCCCAAGAGCTACTTGGACCGCACGGCCAATTGGGACGAATTCCCGAACGGAAGGTGGGGGTCGAGCGAAAGCCCTGCGTTCGGCGAGCTCAACGAGTCGTACTACTTGCATGCGACCGCGTCGGTGCAGGAGCGCAAGGCAATGTGGGGCGAAAACCCCGTCACTTACGAAGACGTGTACGAAACGTTTACCCGCTACGTCATGGGCGCCGTCAAGTCGCTTCCGTGGTGCGATACCCCCCTCCATCTCGAGACCAAGTCGATCCAGGAACGCCTTGCTGCCGTCAATCGCGCCGGGTACCTCACCATTAATAGCCAGCCACGCGTGAACGCGGCGCCGTCGGACGATCCCATGTTTGGGTGGGGCGGCCCCGGTGGCCACGTGTACCAAAAGGCCTACGTCGAGTGCTTCGTGTCGCCGGAAAACCTCAAGCGCATCATCGAGAAATGCAACAAGATGAAACACGTGCAGTACCATGCCGTCGACGTGCACGGCAACTCGTACTCGAACTGCGGCAAAGGCACGACTGCCGTCACGTGGGGCTCGTTCCCGAACAAGGAGATCCTCCAACCTACGATCGTCGACACTGACAGCTTCATGGCGTGGAAGGACGAAGCCTTCAGCTTGTGGTTGTCCATGTGGGCGTCGCTGTACAACGACGAGTCGCCTGCGCACGCCCTCATCCACCAGATCCGAGACACGTTCTTCCTCGTGAGCATCGTTGACAACAACTTTGTCAACGGCAACATTTGGGACGCTTTTGACGTGGACGTCACGACCTCCTCTGCCTCCGCTGCCGGCGCTTAAGTGAGCCCACCAGCGCGGGTGTCGACGTCGTGTCGTTTGGCGAATGGCTCGAAGCAACCCCTCCTCGATTTGGTTCGAGCAGGATCCATGCTTCTTCCCATCTCCCCATCTACCTCTCCACCGTCCCACCGTTAGAATCCCTTATACACCCATGTTGTCTGGCGCGTGCCATCGGCATTCTTCCTGTTTCGCACGAATTCCGTATAATTTCTCTTTATCCGGATACCTTGGCGGGGAAGTTTAAAAATCCGATTTCTGCATTCTGCTGCTCCATCGTCGAACGAGTCAGCAGGCACGATCTCCACCGGCGGCGTCCTGGTTGTCGCGCCGCGCCATGTTCACGATCTCCAAGTCTTCCTCGTCATCCTTGCGCAATGATTTGTCGCCAATACTGTGGTTTGACACCCTTGTTTCCCCAGAGAGTAGGTCGTCTTTTGCCGCAAGTGACGACTCTGACGACTGCGAACGTTGGATAGGTGTTGTGGATTCTAAACAGCACATGCCGGACTACCAATACACGGTCACAGGCCAAAAACGAATTAAGAAGCGAGAGAGGATACAGCTTGGTTGCCCCGTCGTCGTGAATGGCAAGAAACTCGCAATTTTTCGACATGGCCCGCGGTATTTTGCCATCCAGCAGTTTTGCCCTCATGCTGGTGGGAACCTCGCACTTGGCGACATTGAAGATATTGACAACATGCTCTGCATCACGTGTCCGCGACATAAATGGCCATTTGTGTTACTCTCTGGCGATTGCTTGGTCGGTGAAGCATGGAAAGCCGAGCATTTCCCTGTGGAAGCGCGGCCGGCACAGCCTGGATTGCCCGCGACCTTGTTCATTGGGTTTCCCCAATTGAACAATTCCCTTTTTTACGAAGAAGACTTTTAACTGCACTTGGCTGCCATCGAGCTGCTCCAAGCCTCACATGCCCAACTTCTCTATAACGGTAACACCTAAACATAGCAACACAGCAATATTCGTCCACGTCATGCCAAGTTGTTTCTGCATGGGTCCGGTCAAGAGCATATTCGTGGCGACACCAGCACCGCCAGTCCTCCCTCCCTTAGGAGACCACGAAGTCCTCCACACGTCTCACGGCGTTGTTGCAAAATCGACAGCGCTTTCGTCAGCAACATACATCTATCTCCCTCGCTCAGCGGTCAAATCGTCGTCACCCACGTCCCTACTGGACCAACATCATCAAGTAGTCCGTCCAGGGCTGCAGAACACCACCGGCGCCGCCCACGTCCTCTACGTGGCCCGATGATTCCCTGACGCTCTTGTAACTCCATCGCTTCCATACACTTGTTCAATCACCCCATCTTGTTAGTAGTCGTACACGCTCAGGGGTTTCTTGTGGGGCGCGCCCTCCATCTTGTACACGGCGGCAACACCTGCCGTCGTCCCCAGCACCAAGTGCTTTTGATCAAAGCACACGGACGTATACTTGAATTTGGCCGGGAACACGCCGTGCGGATACATTGAGTACCACCGCCACACACACGCGATGCCATCCTTGGACACGGTGATCAACTTGCGCTTGTCGAACTGAACACTTGACACCCCGATCGACGACGACGCAAACGTGCACAGCGGCTGCTGCGTGCGCACATCCCATGCCTGCAAACCGCCATCCTCAAAGCCGGCGACGACGGCCGTCTCGTCCATCTCGAGGGCGCTGACACGGCCCCGACACAGCGCAGACTTGGGGCACACTTTGGCGGACTTGCCACCCCACCACCGAATCGACCCGTCTGTACCGGCGGTCCACAGCACGCGGCCTTTTGTACCCGTCTTTAGGATCGCATCTGGACACCAAATCAAGACCCACATCACAGACGAGAAGCATGGATGTACCGGGATGGCCGCTGAGGCGATGCGTGAGCTTGCCGTTGCGGAGGTCGAAGATCCGCACGAACCCAGCAGACGTCCCGCACACCAATGTGTTGCGAATCAACATGAGGCTTGTCACTTGCGGCCGCGACTCCCGCGCCATGCGCGGCAGCGTCGATGTGTGGATGCTATCGGGAAGAATCAACAGACATACCAGCTAGAAAAGGTACCGTTCGGGACCAAGAGAGAGGACGATTTCGCTTTTCGTAGCGTCCCAAACGTGGACGTCGCCCTTGTCCGTCGTCGCGGCGGCCTGCAGAAACGCGCCGTCGCTCACGTCAATTTTCACCTGCGTGATCCGGTGCGTCTGACTCGACCGCGTGCGCAGGAACGACGTCAGATTCATATGGCTACGTAGCGCAAGCGTTGTTGTGGGAGGAATGATCATCAAGCGCGGGTTCAGCGAAGATGCCGACGCTTCAGACATCCGCGACAGCCACGTGGCGAAGTCCCACACTTTCACCGTGCCATCGACAGTCCCAATGGCCAACGCGGTCGAGCACACGTCAAAACATGCCGCCGACGCCAGCGCAATCGTCCCGCATAGCGCGAGATCTTTCAGTCGCCACAAATAGAAGAACCCGCCATCGATGGTTATCCCTCCAGAGAGTACCTGGGCGAAATGAGTTGAAGGAAGGCAGTGGACGGGACGTACATGAGATGCCCCCGACGTGCCGTCTATTTCGCTGTCGATGAGCTTGACCGTGTGAAACGCATTCTTCACAGTATCGCTGGACTGGTCGCCCTTCGCCTTGGAGTCGTCCACGAGCACGTCCGGCAGTTGCAGCAGCCTCGGCGCCTTCTCCATCCTCCTCTGCTCGTAATACATCCCATTCAGCTCGTCAATATAGTCCTTGATGGTGGACCGATCGCTTAGCAAACATCCGCGAATTGTCGGTGGCGACCCGCGGCGATTCACATTGCTAGTGTTCAACACATTCCATGCGAGGTGCATCCACAGATCGTCCGCATGATGTCGACTTACGGTGATGGAACATCCATTTCTGTGTAAATGTACGATGCGGCTCGTCGAAAGCACGTTGCGAGGATCGGTCCTTTCGGTGTCTGCGCGAGCTCTTCCCACACTGCCGGCCGCATCAACGCCTTCGTCCACATCGAATTGACATACACTGTGATGCAGCATGAGCACGTCCAATTAACAAACAAAGAAGAACAACGATAGCCTCGACATACCCATGGACATGGCGTCTTGTCGCGGCAAGAAACTGATGGTGTTCGCCAGGACCGCCGCATCTGCCAGCACTTCCTCCATGGTCCGCAGACAGGGCGACAAGATGACAACCTCAACGGTAACACTAGATACTGTCAGAATTGATACGTTGCCATTAAAATTCAGATGTGTGACTTTCCATTTAAATTCAGCTGTTTTGCTTCGTCTTGTAAATTACAGTCTTTTTCGACCATAATTAAATCAAGTCATGAATGAAAATAAATCAAAAGGTATCAATTCATACAGGTTGATTTTTTGAGCAGAAGAGCATGAAGTTTCAATGCGCACGAGTCCTGCGCGGCCATGACGGCCCAGTGTTTGCCGTGCGATTCAACGGTACTACTTCATGCACGTCAGTGCATGCACTTCACGAAATAGGGCGATGACGGTCTTGCTGAGTAGAGAAGGGAACGTACTGCATGAGCTGTGGGAGCGATCGCACCGTTCGGTTGTGGAATCCACATCGGGAAGGCACCGAAGGTACAGGGTCAGCTCTGTTGATCAAGACGTATCGTGGGCTACATGGCTACGAAGTTCGCGATGTCGCCATGTACGCACATGTCCATGCCTACGTTTAGTCTCATATCTGGATG